TTCACTTACGTGCTAATACTCTTGGGAAAGTTATAAATCCTCTTCTTCTTCCCCCAGCTATTCTTAAATAGTAGCACAGACCGGATTCTATAACCTTGGATGTCAACTGGTCTACTTTCTACTGGGCAGAAAAAAATGGCAACGTACTGTAAGAAAAAAAAACCTGCCTCGTTAGTGATGTATCGAAAGATACATGATCGCCTAAAGGTGTATCACGCATGGCCCATAACTGACTGAATTTTTATGGAACTTTATTATACACACAGACAGAACAATCAACGCTAATCGTCCAGACATCGCGAACAAAGATACGCAAAAACAGAATGTGCTTTCTTACTGACATGGCTGTTTCTGCAGATTGTAATGTATCTTTGAAGATCTTCAGAAAACTTCAAGGATCTTGAAATTGAAATCTCAAAAATGTGGCACATGAGGACATCAGTAATTCCAGTTGTAGTTGGAGCCCCCGGATTAATTAGAAATTGTTCCGATAGACTGATTGAAGGGATTCCTGGTAGCTTATGCCTTAAAGAAATACAGAAGATTGTACTTACAAGTACAACTCACAAATTACAAAGAGCATTTTCTATGTAAAATGTGTGTGATCTTAGAGGTTTTTGGTTATGTCTTTACAAAAATGTTTAGTGTAAAATGTCATGAAGCAATTTCTGATCTGAGGTCTCTTGTTGAGACCCAGAAGGGAATGTGTATACAACAGAAATCAAAGGAAATAATAATAATGATATTACAATGCTTAAAAAAGACTGAGATTTAAGAAAAGAAAAGAACAAAACACAGTGTTTAAAAATGTTCAACAATATTTCAGCAGTATGTCTATTTTAAAACTTTTAAAAAAAAAGACATACTGCCTAAATATTGCTGAATATTGTCAAACACTATGTGTTCTCTTTTCTTTTTCTTTTAAATCCCGCTCTTCTCTTAAGTGGTGAAACATTTTGGAAGAGTCATGTGAATCATTTTGTTTAATAACAACAACAACAATAATAATAATAAATTAAACGACTGTCGTAACTTGTAAATTTTAATGCATCCAATTGTTAAACACAATGTCTTCTTTTTCTTTTCTAGAAATCGTGCTCTTCTGGAAGTGTTGCATAATAATAATAATAGTAGTAATAATAATAATAATAATAATAATAATAAATGCATTGATGCTACTCCTGAAATGACTCTCGTGGCTTCTGACATTAATGTTTTTTTTGTACACGTTTTTCAGAATGTTTTTCAGTACTACAAATTTGCTTTGTTGGTTTGGCATACCCCCACCACCAGGAGGTGACGTCAATATGAGCAGTAGTGGGTGTGCCTCAACAGGCAAAAAGTTAACATAGGAGTCAAATCTAGAAATTTTGTACACCTTTAATCGGAGAGTGGGTGAAATAGGCCACCTAAGCCGAAAGTATATCTAACGGGACTCCACTTGCATTGTTATTCGTTGCTTTTAACAAAAGCCGTCGCCATATTGCACACATTTGGCTGTGATGCATGTATTTCTTATACTCTTATCAGTAATGTATAGTGTCTCAAATAATAATTCATATTATTCAAATAATAATAACAAAGAAAGCATTATTGTTAATATTGTTGTTGTTGCTGTTTCTGTTGATTTAAGTGTGACGCAATCATTCTTATATTGTTGGTAAGACTTAGACTACAATACCTATATCCTCTGCAGAGGAATGAGATCCAACCCAAAAAAGTTGCAGACTCGGGTATAAATGCCAATTTCTAGATAGCGTAAAACTGGACATTTTAAAACACCGGACCTCGTCTACGTTTTTGATTCGAGTGTAAACAGGGTTAGTGAATACCTTTTCGGCTCTAGTGCTGGACCTGTACCCACCCTTTTACCGCTAGTGAAAACTGAACATGTCCCTAAATTTTAAACTCTAATATAAACAAGAACATATTATTTTAACCTAACGATTATTTCTCATGTCCTTTACTTACGATACCAGACCACCGATTTTTGTTTAAGTTTTCGACTAAATAATAGTTGTTGTTTATTTCTTTTTATCTGCTCCTTAATACAATCGTTTATCAACGCTTTTACTTTAAACCTAAGGTAAATGAAATGTGAGTAATACTTATTTACACAATTTTTGCTTACAACAAATATGAAAACGTCCAAAGACACTCAAGTTTTCTCATTATCTTCTTTTCCCAGTAGCCTCTTGCGTCTTAGTAGCATTATCGTCTTGCTTTGGGTGAAATGATTAAGTAAGAAATGGGTAAGTTTTTAAAAACTCATAAGGAAACATTTCCAATCACTATTCAATACTGCTTCTCGACAAAGAGCCTGAAAATCGGTAAGTCTTATAAACTTTGATAAACCATTTTATCAAAGAAGCGAAGAGCGATCAAATAATTGATGTCGTAGTTCCACTACAACAAAAAACTGAAATTAAGAGAGCGAAAACCTGGAAACATATACAGATATTGAAAAAAGTGTGTTCTTATGTGGCACCATTTACGAGGCAGAGAAAGAAAGAGAAAGAAAAGAAGGCAGAAAGAAATGCAAGACGGATCATAGGTGATAAAACAGCCAAAACACATGGCCTAAGAGACAATGAAAAAGTTTGTGTCATTACAATGACCTGAGTTTGTGTTTTGATAACGGCTATGTTATCTAGGTTTGGAACATTTGAAAATGCTATTTTTAACGAAACATCTTTATGAAAAATTTGACCTTTTCAACCAAACAACTTCGCCCCTGCAATAATAAAATGATGTTTGACACATGTACCAAAGGAAAATAAATCAGAAATGTTTTTCTTTCTTCCCTGACTGAAATTTTGAATAATTCTTTTCGAGTTGTCGGGAAAACCAACCATCTTGATGAATTAGCGATAAACTACCTGACAAACGCCACGTGTTGAACAAAAGAGTTGTCATATTATCCGTTCGTGACTAGAGAAATGATAACGGCGATTTGAAAGAAAAAAAAGGAAAGAGAAGATAATTATTTTTTTTTTAGTTAAGCAAGGTATTTTTTTCCGAAAAAAGCCGCGGATTGTTCACGCCCGACTGACATCATTGGTCAAGTGTCGATCACGTGACGCACGAAGGAGGAGGAAAGATACCCGACCAAGACCTCTGGCCGAGAGTGATCACGTGACGCCCGAAGAATCGACGCCCCCATCAGAGTATAACTATGAGAACTGCTACGAAGAAGTGGGGAGGCAGTTCACGCCCTCAGAAGTATGGTGAGAAAGTGGGGGAGAAAAATCAATGGAAAATCCCTAATCAGAAATAAAAGAGGTGGATATGTATTTAGAATTTCGAGGAACCCCACCCGGACGCCAACAGACCCACCCGGTTTTGGTCGGCGTCAATAAAAGCCAGGCCCCAACAGGCAAAAAATCAGATTCTGGCCCTGGCGGCAGAGATGAGTGTCCAGAGAGTTCGAGCTCCAGTTTCCAGAGTTGAAGCCGCCTCAAGATAGCTGACCAAGATTCACGCAAAATTCCGGACTCCTCTTCAACCAAGAACAATTATTTTGAAGAGCGACTTAGAACCAGACCACCGAAATAAGTTTTTCGACTTTCGTCCAAAGACACATCAAACACAAATTTCTTAGAGACAAACAACTTGAAGCGTTAAAACTTGTTGGAAACGACGTCACAATCACAGAACGGGTCGGGAGATAGATGCACGTATCGAACAACTAGACATAAAGTTTGACCTTTTCTTTGATACTTTGAACATTTTGAGGCGTTGAACTCAGTTTGCATTACGGGTTCTAACCACTGTTTGATCTCAGAGATCAATTCACAACGTGGGTAGGCAGACTGGAGATCAATGCAGTTACCTTGGTAACCAGGCAGAGTTGGGAACGACGAGGCTGATATCAAATCTAACCAGATTCCACCCGAATCACCAAAAGGTTAGAACGTCACATTTGGGTGCCGCGACCGATACCAAGCCAGTTGGTCGTCACAGGACGAGACAACACGACTGACGCGACAGGCGGATGTCACGTTTGGAGGCGACACCGGGCGGAGCAGCGAGGAGCGAACAGCTGGCGCCGCGGCGAAGACGTCACAAGTGGTGCTGTTTGGGGACGTCACAAATGGCGCCGTGGTAGATCAGGATAGAACGTCACAGTTGGCGCTGCGACCGGGGTACGACGTCACACTTATTATTATGATTATTATTGTTTTTATTATTGTATAACACCCAGACATAGGTTAAATATCATCATATACTGAGTCCCCTAGCCTTGGGTTAATACCAGTCTGAGAAGGACAACTCTGAATTCCAAATGAAGCGAGTAAACAACGGCAAACCACTAAATCAAATTGAAATTTACTGAGTTTTATAAGCACATACATTCATAATATTCGCTTGAAAATAAAATAGTACTAGCGACTTTAATTTAATTCTATAATTGTATTTGAAGTTTTTAATTTCTGTTTTTGAAACATGGTAATTACTGTGTAGCGATGGAACCATATTTTTAAATTAGCAAATTTATAATATCTATGCTCTGTAGCTTTGCATTGGGCACTGTTTTGTAAAAATAAAAATAATTCATAAGAACACCGGATTATATATCTTACTGTTCTTTCTCTTTATTATAATATACATGTGACATAGAGAGAGAGAAACGAGGTGGATTTAGTAATCAACAGTGCTAAAGGATTACGATGAAGGTGCTAATTACTTGGGTAGAAGGGATTCCGGATTAATTCCAAAAATACGTATATTTTTTTTTCTCTTGTTTTTTTTTTCTCTTAATAATTGTTTCTGGGGTTGAGTTATTAGTTAATTACATGTAATAATTCAAAGTGATTAAGAGACGGATTCGTTAAAGTAAAGTTTGTGATGAATGGCAAATTGGATTTTTGTGTGGTCTGAATAGCGGAATTCAACCAGACGCAAAATTTCAGTATACGTTGTCTACGAATGATCCAGCAGGAGGTCTTAATCCGATTTTAGTACCCCTTGAAAACTGGTTGCCCGCGGAGATCCGGAGATTAGGCGGAAACACATGGTGGCCCAGGCGATTTGTATATTAAAATTCGGGGGGCGGTGTCTAAAGATGATTTAGCTCCGCCTCTCTCTAGATAAGCTGCCCGTACGCTTGAGTTAGTCAGATGAGTTCGGAGTTCGGGGATCAGAACGCGGAAGAGGTGACTTGTTGGAATTTGCTGGTCTAGTCTGTTGGTTGCTCTGTGTCAAGAAGATCGATCCGAGCCAAGAGATCGAAATAGAACCCGTACGAATCCAAATAACTTCGTCAACAAGGCTGCGACAAGGCAGACTGCAATATCGTAGGGTGCAGACAAAGATCCACGAATTACTTCCCTTAGATTAGCCGAAATTGTTTAGGCAGGAATTTTCCTTCTCTCTCTCTCTCTCTGTGTGTGTGTGTGTGTGTGTGTGTGTGTGTGTGTGTGTGTGTGTACTTTCCGACCCAAACGAGTGAATCTCATTACGACATTTTGTACTCGTGTAAATTCTTCGGTAGAGACATAAAAGCAGTGTCCTAAACAGGGCCCTTTGTACAGCAACAGGAGTTGCTTATTTTTTTTTCTTTTTCATGTGTTTGCGGCTACGGCAAGAAACTTTTGCTGCATGAATAGTGATTTCCTTTCAGCGAAATACCCAGCCATTCCCTCCCCTTCCCACCGGGTCGTTCTGGGGAGATCAATACACTGATGTTCAGATCAAGAATTCACAACGTGGCGAATAGTGGTGGTTCCTTCAGTTCACCGGAGGAAGATCGGGTGGATTTCTTTTTCGGCCTGAACCACCGGGGAGACAGGAAAGAACTGCAACAAGCAGGGTTATTACGTTATATATATATATATATATATATATATATTATATATATTAAAGGCATTAAAAAACTAGAAATGTTGTATTGCAGGCCATGATAAGTTTAAAATAAAAACACACCAGTCGACCGGTTTCGTCCCCTCTCGTCAGAACTGTTAACGGGAATTTAGATTATGAAAAAAAAAAAAAAAAAAAAAAAAAAAAGTCTGTCATGGGTGACATGAATGAATGGACAGGAAGGAAGGAAAAAAAAAAAATAAAAAATAAAAAAATAAAAATAAAATTATACCAACCAAGCTGCTAGAAGCGCAGAACAGCAAGTCCAAGCAAACAATCTCTTTGTTTGCAAAGAGAATGCTGCCTGGACCTGATGTAAAGTGACTCCAACACCTTAAGATGGAAAAGTGAGTGCGAACTGGCCAAGACGGAAAACCAGTTCACACTGAAATCCATCGCACAAGTTGGATTCTTTATAAAATGATCCGCAATCGAAGACCCATACGTGTTACGAATGGTATCGCCCAAAGAAAATGTTCTGCGCTTCTAGCAGCTTGGTTGGTATAATTTAATTTAATTTTATTTTTTAAACACCTGAACAGAATTTTTTTTCCTTCCTTCCTCGTCCATGTGACGATTGATAATAAACATATTCCATTTCCATTTTCTTTATTGGTTTTTGGCTCGTGTAGCTTTCCTCATAATCTAAATTCCCCGTTAACAGTTCTGGGGAGAGGGGACGAAACTGCGCTGTAGTTAAGACGTCAGTCGTTTAGAACGTCACTGTTGGCGCTTAACGTCACACTTATTATTATGATTATTATTGTTTTTATTATTGTTGTTTAACACCCAGACATAGGTTAAATATCATCATATACTGGTCCCCTGCCTTGGGTTAATACCAGTCTGAGAAGGACAACTCTGAATTCCAAATGTTTAAACAACGGCAAAACCACTAAATCAAATTGAAATTTACTGAGTTTTATAAGCACATACATTCATAATATTCGCTTGAAAAATAAAATAGTACTAGCGACTTTAATTTAATTCTATAATTGTATTTCAAACATGTTTAAAACCATATTTTTTAAATTAAAATTTATATATTTGCATTGGGCACTATAAAAATAAAAATAATTCATAAGAACACCGGATTATATAACTGTTCTTTCTCTTTATTATAATATACATGTGACATAGAGAGAGAGAAACGAGGTGGAGTAATCAACAGTGCTAAAGTTTTACGATGAAGGTGCTAATTACTTGGGTAGAAAGGTTCCCATCTATTTTTTTTTCTCTTGTTTTTTCTCTTAATAATTGTTTGCAGGTTTGAGTTATTAGTTAATTACATGTAATAATTCAAAGTGAATGATGAATGGCAAATTGGATTTTTGTTGTGGTCTGAATAGCGGAATTCAACCACTATAAAATTTCAGTATACGTTGTCTACGAATGATCCAGCAGGAGGTCTTAATTGATTTTAGTAACCTTGAACCGAAAATAATCATCGGACTCTACTGGCGGGAAACACAGTGGGCGATTTGTAAATTGGTGTCTAAAGATGATTTAGCTCCGCCTCTCTCTAGATAAATATTTGAGTTAGTCAGATGATTTCGGATCGTTCGGGGATCAGAACGCGAAGTATGGTGACTTGTTGGAATTTCAATTCTAGTCTGTTGGTTGCTCTGTGTCAAAGATCGATCCGAGCCAAGAGATCGAAATAGAACCCCGTACGATCCAAAATAACTTCGTCAACAAGGCTGCGACAAGGCAGACTGCAATATCGTAGGGTGCAGACAAAATCCTTGGCCGAAATTGTTTAGGCAGGAATTTATCTCTCTTCTTCTCTGTGTGTGTGTGTGTGTGTGTGTGTGTGTGTGTGTGTGTGTGACAACCCAAACGAGTGAATCTCATTACGACATTTTTACTCGTGTAAATTCTTATTTATAGACATAAAAAGCAGTGTCCTAAACATTTTATTTTGTACAGCAACAGGATTTGCTTATTTTTTTTTTTTTTTTTTCATGTGTTTAAAAAGAAATTTTGCTGCATGAATAGTGATTTCCTTTCGGCGAAAAGCCATTCAAAAGATTCTTTTGGTCGGGTCGTTCTGGGGAGATCAATACACTGATGTTCAGATCAAGAATTCAAAACAGTGGCGAATAGTGGTGGTTCCTTCATATTTCACCGGAGGAAGATCAGGTGGATTTTTTTCGGCCTGAACCAAGGGAATGTGGAAGAAACTGCATGAATTTATTTTCATTATATATATATATATATATATATATATATATATATATTAAGGCATTAAAAATTTAGAAATATTTGTATTGCAGGCCATGATAAGTTTAAAATAAAAACACACCAGTCGTTATTTTTCGTCTGTCTTTGTGGACTTCGCCTAAACCAAAAAAAAAAAAAAAAAAGAAAAAAGTCTATCATTATATATGAATGAATGGACAGGAAGGAAGGAAAAAAAAAAAATATATATAAAAAAATAAAAATAAAATTATACCAACCAAGCTGAAAGAAACGCAGAACAGCAAGTCAAGCAAACAATCTCTTTGTTTGTCAAAAGAGAATTTTGCCTGGACCTGATGTTAAAGTGACTCCAACACTTTTAAGATGGAAAAGTGATTGCGAACTGGCCAAGACGGAAAACCAGTTCACACTGAAATCCATCATCAAGTTGGATTCTTTATAAAATGATATATATATATATATATATATATGATGTACGAAATTCAATCAACCCAAAGTAAATGTTCTGCGCTTTAGCAGTTTCTTTGACAATAAAAAAATTTTACTTATTTTTATTAATTTTTTTTTCCTTTAAAGAAATTATTGTAATCCTTTTAATAAAAATTGAACAAATTGTTCTGACGAAAGGACAATTTATTTTTCGACTGGTGTGTGTTTTATTTTAAACTTATAAACCAAACCAACATTTAGAGTTTTAATGCCTTAATAGTTTTTTTTATTCAAAGTGGTTTAGTTATCTTTTATAATATATATATTTATAATATATAATATATATATATATATATATATATCAGACAGTGTTATATATATTTCTTTAACCTGGTCTCCCTTGCGATATGATGCACCTAAACGTGCCTGGTCTGAAAACACCATAATATCACACCAATGGACATGCGGATCGGATTGAGAATGGGACACCAAATGGCTAAATTAAGTCGAATCCATTACTAGAAAGATTCCATGCCAATCACCAGTTGGGAAAGTCTTCTTTTCAAGTTCCCAGATATTGGGTAAGTTTAATGACAGGATGGAATCTAGGTCCTTGTTCAAGACAACTATTTTAAGCAGATAAGAAACGGCAAGGTGCTCAGCTGGAAAAGGCTACCTCGTAATGTCAATGTAATAATAATAATAATGAATTATCGCCAAAGTAGTATCTTATTATTATATAACTTTCAATAAAGTAGAAATAATCAGATGTCTGTTAGCTGATTTTTGGAACAGGTCAAATAATGAGGAAATGTTTACTTCTAAAATTCATGTTGCTGAGATAGGACATGTAAATATAACAACCGCAGAGGATAGATATCAAAATAAAATAAAATTATAATAATAAAGTATTATCAAATTCTAATAATAGATTATTATTATTACTATTAGTGTTTTTTTTATCCTCCTCTTCGTTAGTTACTTCGTTAGTTTGTTCGCCTGAACGTTACACACTGCCAATATCTCATAAATAATGAACTATTCCGTTTTGAGTAAGTGAAAACACGGAAATGATATTTCAGTGACGTTACTTAGTTTCAGTTTAAAAAGGATGAAAAAACAAAAAATAATCAAAACCTTCACTTGTGGCAAAGAAAGAAAACAAATTTAAAGGAATGATAGAAAAGTGAAATGGAAAAAAGTTGCCAAATTCAAAATATTTTCATTTGTACCCTCGTAAAATAAAGACAAGCATTCATATTTATGATAGTTATTGGTATATTTTATTAAAGTTATTAGGCTCAAATATTTAATGTTGCGATAATGTAATTTCGACGAATATATTTTATTGTCATGAGCTTATTTAATCATTAACTGAAGAATTAAGATTCATCAGAAAATTCAAATAAGAAAATCGGGTAGTTATTGTAATTATTATAGTAAAATATTTGGTGGATTAGCTATCACTTGCTCCCTACAAACACCTACCATATTCAACTCGTGTAAAACAAAAAGTTATACAATAAGAAGAATATATATAAATAAATCAAATTTGTAATATCTAACCCAAAATAAAATTAAAATAGAATCAGAAAATTTATTTACTCATACCTACGTAAACAGTTTTTTTACAGTCCCAAATATAAAAGTGTTAATTAAATAAATGATGACGGAGACTTCCGCAACAGGAAGAATCCCTTATT